AGTAGAGACGGGGTTTCACCATGTTGACCAGGATGGTCTCGATCTCTTGACCTCGTGATCCACCCGCCTCGGCCTCCCAAAGTGCTGGGATTACAGGCGTGAGCCACCGCGCCCGGCATTTGTTTGATTTTTATGAGAAACTGGAAACCTAGTTGGTATTCACAAGTGAAGAACTTAATGTTGGGAAGATAAGAGATTCCTATCATCCCTCCATTTTAAATTAAGATGTTAGGATTGTGGTGACTTGACATTTTCTATTTGATCTACCTTAGGGTCTCAGCTAATTAGTTACCTAAGGCTATTGTACAGTGTGTATTTCATACAGGGTATATTACATGTTAGCAACCAGTGCAACTGCTGTAGTAAAATTTTGTCCTGTTTTCTGCCATTTCGAATTGTGAAAGGGTGTTACATAATCTTAAATGATCATCAGAAGCATGTTCGGCTGACAGATAAGGATGTAGACAAGTTTGTTTAACTTATCTTAAATTGACCTTGACTCCAGGTCAAATTGGAGTCAACTCTGGTAAGATGATGAAACAATAACTTCTGAAATCTCTATTTGAAATGTCAGGATTTTTTGTATAATTAGTATATAAGTCTGTTCTTAAAGAAATGAAGAATTGAAATATACAGCCTTTTAAAAATTTTTCTGAGACAGGGTCTTGCTCTGTTGCCCTAGCTGGAGTACAGTGGTGCTGTCATGGCTCACTGTAGCCTCAACCTCTCCTGGTTTTTGTTTTTGTTTTTTTTGTTGTTGTTGTTGTGTTTTTTGAGACGGAGTTTCGTCCTTGTTGCCCAGGCTGGAGTGCAATGGTGTGATCTCGGCTCACCGCCACCTCTGTCTCCCGAGTTCAAGTGATTCTCCTGCCTCAGCCTTTCAAATAGCTGGGATTATAGGAGCATGCTATCAGCACCGGCTAATTTTTTGTATTTTTAGTAGAGACGGGGTTTCATCATGTTGGCCAGATTGGTCTTGATTTCCTGACCTCAGGTGATCCACCTGCCTTGGCCTCCCAAAGTGCTAGGATTACAGGCATGAGCCACCGTGCCTGGCCATTTTTTATGAAAATAGAGAAATGTCGTAGTATTGTGGTGATAGAACCCTAGCTATAGGAGTGATTTCTTTGGAATTACTTGTCTGTGATAGAAATTCTTGGCTAGTGCAGTGGCTCATAAATATAATTCCAGCACTTTGAGAGGCTAAAGTGGGAGGAACACTTGAGCCCCGGAGTTTGAGACCACCCTGAGCAACAGAGTGAGACCCCCGTCTCTACAAAAAAAATTAGCCTGGTGTACCTGTAGTCCCAGCTACTCAGGAAGCTGAGGTGGGAGTATTACTTGAGCCTGAAAGGTTGAGGCTACAGCGAGCCGTGATTGCACTGCTGCCCTCCAGCCTGGGCGTCAGAGGGAAACTGTCTCAAAAAATAAAAATAAAAATTCTTCTCTACTTAAAATAACTTGTTGATGGTTTACTCTCTTTTCAAGTTGCATTTGCATTAATTTGTTGGTTAAACACTTAAAAGGTTTAAAATTAGCCTGACTTAAAAATTCCTTATCTGTGTTAAAGGTGGAATATGAGGTATGTTTAATTATACTCAGTTATTTGGGAGTTTTATTTCTACTTGAAATTAGGGTAGGGTTGTATTTTTGTTTCTTAAAAGGAGTTTCAGACTAAAATTTTCTTCGTCAACTCTTACCTAGTTATATGGTAAGAGAGCTAGTTTTTATAAAGGTAGAAGATTTAATTTTACAAATTATGCCATGCACATTTTAGGTGTCTGTTTCATGTGGAATACCTGACTTCAGGTCAAGGGATGGTATTTATGCTCGCCTTGCTGTAGACTTCCCAGATCTTCCAGATCCTCAAGCGATGTTTGATATTGAGTATTTCAGAAAAGATCCAAGACCATTCTTCAAGTTTGCAAAGGTACTATGAACTCTTCTGGTTGTTTCTTTGGCCTCGTCTCTTGAAAAAGTATTTTGTTCATACATAGCCATTTTAAGATTATTATTCATTGTTTAGTAAAGTGGATGCTGCTACTGTGGCAGAGTAAGATCACTCATTATGGCCAGGATTCCCTTACTTCTAGAGAACGAATATCATCTACCTTTCTTCATTGTGGGAGTGAGCTTATTTTCAAAGAGACAGTTTCATATTTTTAAAGTTTGCACTTCACCTATGGTTGTTATCTGCCTGGGCTTTTTTTAAAGAGGTTTGTACACCATATAAAAGTAATATAACTTGTAATTTATAATATTTTATTACAGATTATAAAGGTTAGAACATTGCTTTGGGATTTTGTAGTAAAGTTTAACATTAGGATGTGCCCGAAAAATCATTTGTAATTAGAGATGGGGAAGATTCTTGAGTTGGATTTTTGTCAACAAGTTGCAGAGGAGCCTTATTCTGCTCTAGAGTTGCACTGTCCAGTTCAGAAGCCACTAGTCCAGCTACACATGGCTGTTGAGTACTTGAAATGTGTTGACATGTACAATAAATGTGGATGGCATATCAGATTTTTAGAGATCCAGTATGGAAAAAACAAAATATTTTATTAGTTTTATTTATTTAAATATAAAACAAATATTGGTTTTTATATGTAAATAATACTTTTAAAAATTTTTAATTCTTTCTTTTGAAACACTTTTGATAATTGGATTAAATAAAATAAATTTTGGGCTGTGCATGTTGCCTCATGTCTGTAATCTCAGCACTTTGGGAGACCAAGGTAGGAGGATCAGTTGAGCCAGGAGTTTGAGACCAGCCTGAGCAACATATTGAGACCACATCTCTATAAAATAAATAATAAAATTTGCTGGGCATGGTGGTACGCACCTGTAGACCCAGCTACTGAGGAAGCTGGGGTAGCAAGATCCCTTGAGTCCAGAAGCTCAACATTCTAAGTGAACCATGATCTGCCACTGCACTTCATCCTGGGCAACAGAGCAAGAGCTTTTCAAAAATATATGTATGTTTTGAAGTTTTCGCTTTTTTTTTTTTTTGAGACGGAGTCTCACTCTGTTGTCCAGGCTAGAGTGTGGTGGTGCAGTCTTGGCTCACTGCAACCTCTGCTTCCTAGGTTCAAAGTGATTTTCTTGCCTCAGCAACCTGAGTAGCTGGGATTACAGGCGCCTGTCACCACGTCCAGCTAATTTTTGTATTTTTAGTAGAGACGGGGTTTCATCAGGTTGGCCAGGCTGGCCTTAGACTCCTGACTTTTCAGGTGATGCACCCACCTCGGCCTTCCAAAATGCTGAGATTACAGGCGTGAGCCACTGTGCCCAGACAGTTTTCACTTGAATGTAGTTATTAAAAAATTTGGGCTGGGCACGGTGGCTCAAGCCTGTAATCCCAGCACTTTGGGAGGCCGAGGCGGGTGGATCACGAGGTCAAGAGATCGAGACCATCCTGGTCAACATGGTGAAACCCCGTCTCTACTAAAACTACAAAAAAAACATTAGCTGGGCATGGTGGCGCGTGCCTGTAATCCCAGCTACTCAGGAGGCTGAGACAGGAGAACTACCTGATCCCAGGAGGCGGAGGCTGCGGTGAGCCGAGATGGTGCTATTGCACTCCAGCCTGGGTAACAACAGTGAAACTCCATCTCAAAAAAAAAAAAAAAAAATTTGAAGTTACGTGTGTGTCTCACATATATCTATTGTACAGCTCTGCTTTAGAGTATAAAGTTTAATAATGCATTATGCCATACCCAAGAGATTTAGTCATTAGAAAACTGTTTTCTTTCCTGTATTTTAGTCTTTTGAGAAGAAATTACAAAATTTGTTATTGTTAAACTTGGAGGTATATGTATTTGAAAGAGTCATTTTATTTTATCCTGACCTCATAATCTGCCCACTTCGGCCTCCCAAAGTGCTGGGATTATAGGCATGAGCCACCCACCGCACCTGGCCAGTAAACCTAAATTTTAACTAAATGGTGGCCTCATCTACTTTTGGACCATGTGATGTATTTACATGACTTCAGGAGAAGCTCTGCTAATTCAGAATAAATTGGTGACTGTCTTTAAAGAAAAGTAATTTTCTTTAAAGCACTGTAATCCCAGTGCTTTGGGAAGCTGAGACAGGAAGATTGCTTGAACTCAGGAGTTTCAGCCTGGCCAACATAGTGAGACCCTGTCACTACCCTCCACCTCACCCAGTGTAATCTTTGTTTTATCCAGGTTGTGGTACATTAAATGGGCATTAGTGTTAAGTGGGAAAATTATGTTAAAAATTCTTGAATATGATTACTAAACTGAATTTGAAAAGTTCTCAGGCATCAGGATAATTTCGAACTTAAAACTTAATAATTTGAACTTTTTACTTCATATGTCCACAATAATGATGGTCATCTATGTCTAGCTTTTAGAGCAGACAACTGGTTCATACCTGGATTGAATAAATAATATAGTTATTTTTTTTTTGTTAATTATGGATTAGTGAAGATTTACTATTTTAATCTGCTACTAGTGGTACTACTGCATGGTTTTAAAGACCAATAAAATATGACTAAAGGTTTCTTGAATTGGATCTAGGACACTGGCATTATGAAATCTCCATGTGGCTCAGGCATTGGCACCATCAGAAGACCAGCAAGTAACTAGAAGTTACTTTGGTCTTAAATCTTATTACAAAAACTTGACTCACTAGTGCATTTTTATGATGCTCACAAGATTTTTGTTGTAAATTTTTTTATTTTTTGCTGTTTTTGAGACAGGGTCTCACTTTGTCTGGAGTGCGGTAGTGATCATGGCTCACTGCAGCGTTGATCTCCTGGGCTCAGGTGATCCTCCCACTTTGGCTCCCCAGGTAGCTGGGACCACAGGTGTGTGCCCCCACACTCTGCTAATTTTTGTATTTTTTGTAGAGACAGGGTTTTGACATATTGTCCATACTGGTCTCTTAACTCCCGATCTCAAGCAATCCACCAGCCTTGGCCTTCCAAAGGGCTGGGATTACAAGGCATGAGCCACCACACCAGGTTTTGCTGTAAATTGTATCTTGCTAAAGCTAACTTGTCACCTGTCTTCACCAACTTAGGAAAATCTACTTAAGTAGATATTAAATTGCCTGGTAAAGTTATAAGGTGCAGTTAAATGTCTAAAATTAGGAGTACTATTCTTTTGGTAACAAGTTTTTATATATTGTTTTATTTTAAGTACATTTGGTAACCCAACACTGGAAAAATATGTTAACAGTGTAGAAATAGCAAGGTGAGGAGGATTGTTTGCTTAGTTGTCTAGTGTGCAAACCAGGTATGCACCTTTAGTTTAAATGAACTTTGACATGTAAGAATCTGTAGAAGCAATTCATAATTACTCCCAAAAAATAAGTCCTAAGAACTTTTAAAATCCATTTAATAAAAATCTAGAGACTGTATAAGAGAAAATACGTGAAATATAATAACAATGGCACACTGTTAAATTGTTATAGTGGCTCTTAACCACTCTGTACAGGTTTTATACTCCATGGGAGGAGAAAAGGTTAAAGAGGATAAGCATTTTTCACTTGTGTATTAAATGGAGAATATGCAGGCTGGGTACGGTGGCTTATGTCTGTAATCCCAGCACTTTGGGAGGCCAAGGCAGGCGGATCACGAGCAGTGCTGCTCTAACAGAGCAGTAACTTTCTTAACACACTTCTCCATTACTTGGAATTTTCAATCTAAGTGAAAGTTAAGGGCTGGGCACAGTGGCTCACACCTGTAATCCCAGCACTTTGGAAGGCCTAGGCAGGAACATCACCTGAGGTCAAGAGATCGAGACCAGCCTGGCCAACATGGTGATACATTGTCTCTACTAAAAATACAAAAATTAGCTGGGTGTGGTGGTGGGCACCTGTAATCCCAGATACGGGGGAGGTTGAGGCAGGAAAATTGCTTGAACCTGGGAGGTGGAGTTTGCAGTGAGCCATGATCCTGTGACTGCACTCCAGCCTGGGTGACAGAGCAAGACTCCATCTTAGGGTGTGGGGAAAGGAGAATATGCATTTTTTTAAATTGAAATTTAATTTAATTTTTTAAGATGGGGTTTCACCATGATGGCCAGGCTGGTCTTGAACTCCTGACCTCAGGTGATCCACCCACCTTGGCCTCCCAAAGTGCTAGGATTACAGACATGAGCCACCGCACCCAGCCACTGAGAATATGCAATTTTGAAAAAATAAATTCATTCACTTACAAGGTGTCTTCTAACCCAGTTTATATAAATTTATTTATTGAGATGGAATCTTGCCCTGCTCACTGCAGCCTCCGCCTCCTGGGTTCAAACAATTCTTTTGCCTCAGCCTCCCGAGTAATTGGGACTACAGGTGTGCACCACCACACGCAGCTAATTTTTGTATTTTTAGTAGAGACTGGGTTTCGCCATGTTGGTCAGGATGGTTTTGATCTCTTGACCTTGTGATCTCCCCACCTCAGACTCCCAAAGTGCTGGGATTACAGGCAAGAGCCACTGCGCCCAGCCTTATAAATTTAATTTTACTTTTCTGAATTTTCGTTTATGGTAATGGTTAAATCTACAAGCTTTTACAATTGTTAGTTACATATAATTCTTTGTGCATTAATTCTCACATTGGAAACTGACTAAAAAAAAAAAGCTTCTAGGCCGGGCACAGTGGCTCACACCTGTAATCCCAGCACTTTGGGAGGCTGAGGTGGGGGGGATCAGCTGAGATCAGGAGTTCAAGACCAGCCTGACCAACATGGCTAAATCCCTTCTCTACTAAAAAATACAAAAATTAACTGGACGTGGTAGTGGGTGCCTGTAGTCCCAGCTTCTCGGGAGGCTTGAGACAGGGAGAATCGCTTAAACCAAAGAGGCGGAGGTTGCAGTGAGCCAAGATCATTTAAGGAGAAATAAATAAGGACGAAGAGTGCAGAATAGTACCCTAAAATGGAGGATGGAGAAAGTATGTAAATATTGTCAA